CTGCTCTATTTGAAAAGTGTCCTGAAGATAACTTCTGTTATGAATTGGCGCTATACAAATAAAATTGAATTGAATTGAATTGAATTAGTTGGCAAGTGGCTACAATAAACGTGGGATCACACACATCATCCCTGATTTTGTTTGAATTGGTTTGAGATGTTTCGTGTTGTATTACCAGAGAATCCGGCTCCAATCACAATGTTACTGTAGTTGGGGTGGCAGTCCAGCACAAAGTGACGGTCAGGCGTTAGCTGAAAAAACAAAGTCCAAAATTAAAATGAGAGGGTCCAGGTTGCTAGGCTCGTCTATGTTGAAAAGATAACCACATTTTGAAGATGGTTTAAAGATAAAAGCGACTTATACAGAAGACGTAACCATGGCTTTTCCTGACTAAATCTTTATTAGCGTTATATGAGGGGAAATTGCTGACTGTAAAGCAGGTGCCAACAATCACTTTATTAATCATCAATTAATCGGTTTGAGTAATTTTTTCAGCATAACATTTCCAAATTCTAATTCCAGCTTCTCATATGTGAATATTTTCTGCTTTCTTTAGTTTTTTATGACAGTAAACTCAATATCTTTAGGTTGTGGCCAAAACAGACATTTAAGGACATCACCTTTTGGCTCTCGGAAAGAGTTATCAACATTTTATGGACCAAACAACTAATTGCTTAATCGAGAAAATGATTGAGAAATTCATCAACAGTGAAACAAATTGTTAGCTGCAGCCCTAACATTTAGTCAAGAGTGCTGCCGCATTCGTTCTCCTGCCTCTTCATTTCACTATATGGAGACATGAATAGTGAACTGAGCAATTGCAGATTGACCTGGGAACCTTTTGACAAAGACGCACTCTCCGTCTCCATATGGACATGTGGCCTTTGCAGCCGTTCCTGTCAAAGTCTTTTTGGAAAATGTGTTTAAAATGTGTTTAACTAGATGAAAGGGTCTATCGTGGAACACATAATGACCTCTGTCAAAAAGCACAGCTATGGAGGCGCATGTAATTTAACTCTCTGTCCTCTTTTAAGAACAACTGCTAGTGGAACAAAACACTTGCTGTTAAGTGAGAAGAGCGTGACTGTCAGGATTTTCAGGGGCATTGGACAAGGTCACAGAAATTATGTTTTCCTACAGCTTCAGTATGTGATCGTGGTTAAAGCAGCTTGCTGTGTTGCTGGAGGGCACAGCCCCCCACCCCTCTAACACACACAGACATACACAGTTCAGCATAGCCTTAAACAGAATTGAACATCTAGGAATGGCTTTGGAGAGTAACATCCGGCAGTAAATGAAATACAGACAGCCATCAGCTTATACACTTTATATATACAGTTTAACCGCACAATAATAAACTTGAACACATAATTAACTCACAGTCCTGTTACTGGCTGCTTCAAGAGCAAACCTACAGGAAGGAAAACAGGTTCAAAAGGCTCCAAGGCGGCAATGTCCAAATTGATAAGACCATGTTGGACAGAAACGTCAACAATCATTTAGCTATTGTTAGTCTTAGCAGAAGTAAGGTTAAAACTGCAAGAGAAGATCAAATGTCATTGCAATCTGCCCATAATATTTTAATATTTCTTTAAAATGTATTATAATTTTACAAGATATTATATCCCATATTTTTTTAAATAACACTTGATAGGTTACAATTCAATACCGTAGATAAGCAACTGTTAATTTTCATATCACGGTACACTATGATGTTGGTATTCCGCTGCAACCGTAAACATAACAAAAATTACATATCAATATATATTTATACAAATCATTTGGTAATGTGTGAGGGTTGAGTGTGTAGAGGCAGTGTAGTTTTGGATAAAGCAGAGATTTAATATTGTTAAATAAGCTGTTTCTGATATTAGAGAATTTAAAAAGGAATAACAAATCTCGTATTATCCCTAGAGTGAAAAGGGAGCACTTGTGTTATTTTCATACAAAAAACTAAGTAAGAAAAATAAAATTTGTCAAGATCTGTACTCGTAAATATAGCACCTTTTCAGGTCAAAATATCGTACATTTTTGAAACATTGCTTTTGTCAGTAGTTTTCTAATTAATATAGCAACTTCTGATCAATCCATGTCAGTTTCAGGATTAAATAAACAACTTCTTGTAAGCCCTGCCCATTTTGTTTTGATATTTCCTGATGACCCACTGGTATAATCAGATCTCTTCACCTTCTGAAGCTTATATCTCAACATGGATGGATTAGGATGATTATTATGAACACTGTAATGTGGGGTGTTGATACGGACCGTGTACATGCAGCTCTCCACCACAGCAGGTTCAGGGATCAGGCCAGGTAAACAGCGGGCGACATAGCGCTGGAGGATGTCGATATCGGACCGGTCTGTCTGCTTGTCCCTCCGGTTTGGGTCTGTCTCACTGCCCATGTGGTAGCATATCTGCACACAGAATGGCACTGTTGATATTATATCTATATGGAACATTGAATGCTTGGCAGCCCTGCAGGAGAGCTTTGATTGGGCCTATAAAATAAAAATAAATAAGAAAATTGTTTAGTTAATTAATTACAAGCTGAAGTAAAACCAATACATAACATTCACTCATTAATTAGAGGTGCATGCATTATTAAGTATTAAGTATATATTTCGGAGCCTGACCCAATCCCGACCTGCGGCAGTCCAATCGGATTTGGGCAGAGAAAAAAAGCTCTACCTTGCATACATAGCATAGCATAGTATAGCACCATCCAGCTCTTACTCAATTTTGAAAGGTGTATTTATTTCATTTCTATTGTTTATCTGCTGGTATTGTTTGTTTTCAGTGTCAAGAACACAAATCAGATGGAGACACATGGTACACATACAGTACAAGCCAAAGAAATACAGAAAGAAATGCATCCAAAACAACAAAAAATTTCATTAAACAATACAAGTGAGCTAGAAAAACAATTAAACAGAACAAATACTTCTGTTTCATTGATTTAGAATAATTGAATTGTATAATATGAATATAAGATATTACTCAGAATGAGCTGAACACTGGCTCTAGATAGAAGCTTTTTCATGAGCTGTATTCAACTGCTGGCAATCTACAACTTTACCCCTAGATGCCACTAAATTCTACACACTGGTCCTTTTATACAGACTTGAAATTAATCCAAACATATCCTTTAACTATTTCAGCTGTCAGAATTCAGTCTTTTCTAGAGAAACTGATTTGTGGCCTTTCTTGTAATTACTTACCAAATGCAAAACACAGGCAGTAGAGTAGAGTCCCATAGCTTTGTTTATGCAGCACTGAATGTGGTTATTTAGAAATGAATCTGATGATGTTTCATGTAAAGCTAAGTAATAAGGCAGAAAATTATATGTTTCACATGTTTCCTATTGCCAGCTTGAGAGGTAAATGACAAGGGGGAGTGACTGTCAAACACACACTTCAAACTTCCAAAGCTGCTTCTGTGTGCTGCTGCTGTTAGCCAGGTATGACACATACAGTGTCACCCAGAGACTAAAGGCACAGCGAGGAGGCTGAGGGATTAAAAGAACAGTTTTTATGTTTTTCTGCAAGATTTTCTGCCTTAGAAAACTTTCTGACAGGTCCATGCAGTAAAAAAACACCCACAAACAGTGTAAAAAGAGTAATTACAATATTCCTCTCTGCTTTGGGGATTTTTTTTTTTCTAACTATGTTAAATGGTCCAAACATTGGACATACAGTAGCTCTGGTGACTGTGTCTCAGAGTGAATAATGCGACGTGGCATCACCATCTGTCCCCCTCTCTCTTCTATGCATGTGGTCTGCTATTAGGCTGCGAGCTCCTGCTGGCCCACCATAATGCCCGAAATAGAGATGTGCCATCGGATGACATCAGAACCGGCACAACTCCCACAACTAATCTGATGTTGAGGTAAGACAAATCACATTTTACAGTTGACTTTGCAGCAGTGTTTGTGTTTCAAAGAGAACAGTAATTGTTCCACTGTGGCAATGTCGTTCTCATTAGCAACACTGCAGTCAAATGTTTCTCTGTTTTTCACTGAGCAGTTTGAAATTAATGTATTATGAGTTTGAGGGTTATCTGTATACATATTTTTGACAATACATTATCATTAACTGTACAAAATCTAGATAAAAAATATTAAATATCGCCTCCACACATATATACAAATAGTCTATTCTCAGTGGATGTGCACTGCTGGCCTCAACTTTCCACATCCCACTGTACAAGTTGTATACTGGCCCAGGGCCCTTAAAATATATTGCACATACAGTGCCTTTAAGAAGAATTTCCCTGCTTGCTTTTTTTGACCCTGATCAACTGATAAACAGAAAAAGACCCTTAATGATCTAAAATTATCTAAATTAATTGCAACTCAAATATAAGAGGAAATAAAGCCACTTGAGAGAAGATATTTTCCAGCAAGACAATGAGCACAAGCATAAAGCACAGGAACGGCTTCAAAACAACAGTGTTACTGTTCTGGAGTGGCAGAGTGAAGTGAATCCAATTGTAATTTTGAAGCTGGACTTGAAAAAGGCTGTTCACTCACAATCTCAATACAACCTGACAGAGCCTGAACAGCTCAGTAAAGAAGAATTGCAGCAAAGCTGACAGAGATTTATCTGCACAGACTCAAGGCTGTGATTGCTGCATCTACGGTACTGACTTGGCAGGGGTGAATATTTGTAGTGTTTAGTATTTTATACTTGTAAATAACTGACATCACTTTGTATAGATCTGTTCTCACTTTGATCAAAAGAAAAATACCCTTTAACGTGTCTCACACACACACACATACACACACACACACACACAGAAGGTACTGCAGAAAAATTAACAGGATAAGCTCACAGTGTTTTGGAGTAAAGGCTATTTTGCACCAGAGCCTCAGAACGTTTTCAGTAAACTTTTTTGTTACTTGACAGACTGACATGGAATTTGACATTGGTTACAATAAGAGTTTGACCAATTAGGAAAAAATTAATTGGTAGGAATTAGGAAGTGAATTTAGCAAAGACTTAATACCTCAGGTAATTCTGAGATAAAATTTCATAAAATGATCTAATAATTACAAAATAATTTTGTCACAATTACTACGATGTTGATTTTTTAACCGCCTACAGTGTGAACGGATAAGCCGACGGCGCGGAGCGAGGGTCGGTCAGACAGTCTGATAACTGCACAGGTCTCTCACTCAACTTAATAAAGAGAAATGTCCCACAAAGCAACGTTACAGGACCAAACAACCAGTAACGTAGTAACTGTAACTGTCTTTGGAAACTTATATGAGGAAAAAAAATACCACAGCTGCCTACGTGGAGAAGCGTCTGTCCTCCTGTCTGTCTCCTGTCTGTCTCCTGTCTGTCCTACCGAATCCTTCGTTACATTTTTGCCCGAACAAACAGCGGTCTGTCACCGGCGAAAAACTGCGGCGAGCGTTAAAACATTCTCTCTCGCTTGCAAAAAGAGGCGCTCCAGTTTTGCTGGTGACTCTTCCTGTAATATTTCGTAATCTTAGAGTGACACAAATTATTCCCCTCCTCCTTCCAGGATGTTGGTGGGTCACGGTTCTCAATACACAATTATAACAGCATCCATATGATTATAAAGTGTCCGCGGGTTTAGATTGACAGGGGGAGACAACTGGGAAACACCTTCAACACGGGCTCTGCAGTGATTGGCTCTGGTGCGCACGTGGCTATGGTGGCCTATCGTTGGCAATGCTAGCGAATTCGGAAATCATTTATGAAATAATTTATTAACGGTATGTTTGTAGTCCAAACAAAGCCGACGTTGCACACCCTTAAACCACACAGCAGCCATGTTGAAACTCTCAGGTCAGTCTGATCCTGATCTGCAGAGATATTTGAGCCACACACACACACACACACACACACAACAGACAGAGATTTCTTGCTTTATAGATAGATATTTTAGTTTTTAAATGTGGCCAATTGCTTCAAATCTCAATTAAAAGCACTTTGTAATGTCTGACAACTGCATTTGAGTTTTAATTCTGCAAGACCACACAAGCACCTGCTCCTCCCTCTACGACTTCCCTTGTCACGGCCACAGTTGATGCACGCAAATCGAACGCCCTGCAGAGCAACAAGATCTCTTGAATCACCCTCTCCTTCCAAGAAAGAAAAACTACAGTGGCAACGAACAACGCAAACAGCCCTGTCTAGAGACAATGTTTGGTTTGTTTGTTCTGGGCTACTGTAGAAACATGGCACTTCAACACAGCAGAAGGCGTCTTACAGTGTCTGTAGATAAAAAACGCTCATTCTAAGGTAACAGTAACAGTAGTTCCTTTGTTAGGTGACATAAACACATATTGTAAATGTGCATTAAATGGTTAATTGTCTGGATAATCTCGCTTTATTAGTTACTTATTTCTTGATTACATGTAGTCCATTACTACTCAACCCTGATTATAGTCGAACTAACCTTATATAAGTTACATTACAACACTTGCAGCAATCTATATCAAGTAATATTATTATAACATTAGTTGGGCCACTGACACTGTTGTAATGCATCAACTCTGTCAGTCTTACTCAAATAAACATGATACTGTACCACAGTTCTGTTTTTGGGAGATTAAGCCTTAATTATGCGCAGCATTGATATAGGTAATTTACCAATTGCAGCATAATGCCAACAAAGGAAAAAAGAAAGAGAGCTACAGCAGGCAGCCTAGGATAGCAGCTTTCTTCTATCCTGGATCAAATCATTTAGCAGTAAGGAAGATGAGGGAGATGTATTGTCGCCTGATACAAAAGAACCCATCACAGATGAAGAAGAAGGTGTAGGTATTGAAATAAATAAATATGTAAGTAAGTCAAAGATTATACTTAGTCTCTCTCACTTTATGTGAGTGTGAGAGAGAGAGAGCATGCACATGTGTTGATATAAGTAAAGCAGATTTGGGGAGGTCCCATTCAATAAATCTTTTTAATGGCCCAGCCATTTGCAAAGGTATCTGTATAGGCCAACTGTTTACTTTGACTACACAAAGTATAGTTTGGCAATTCTAAATAATACACAAAGCTACTTTAGCTGAACATTACTGTTTTGTTTTATTGTAGTCAGAGTTGGTTCAGATTACTTTGAAATGTAGTTTTAAGGAGCAACAGCAGGCAGCACAGGGTAGCAGCTCTTTTGCTACCAGCAGTAAAGCCTGGTCCATACCACAGCATACATGAGCAGTATGTGACCGCTACCATGTTGAACTGCTGTGGATTGCATGCCTGTGGCATCCACACAGACAGGGTTTCTGCTGCTGTGCTGCTGGTGCGAGCCTTATCTTGTTATGGTGAGTTTGCATTTGGAAAATACAATATAATAAAAAGGCTTGTAAACAATTAAATGAATTCTGTTCACATAAACGTTAAAGAGCTTTTAATCTGAGGGATATCTCTGTCATATTCTACAG